GATGACTCCCAAAGTTATTCAAGAGTCAAGTTCCGTGACTGTGTCCGAAAAATCAAGTCTAAACCTCCGGTGAGAAATCCTGTCTTTAAATCGTGCTTGTTTTCAATCACACATACTTTAAATCATGGTTTTTTGTTAATTTCTATTTTCCAAAAATATCCAATGCGAGTTGACAATATACATGACCTGCCTTCTATTGCTGTGGAGAATGCAAGAAAAAAGTATGAGAAATAATTCCTACTTTCAAAATCCTAGAAGTTAGCTTGATTTGGGGCAGGGAAATGCATTAAAGTGCAGGAAAGACTATTTGTTCAGCTCTGACATTGCACCCGCTTTCAATATGGGGGAAAAGGGACACTAACTCAAGAAGAACCAAAGCCTTACTCCCCTTCCCCCCCCAAAAAAATGGTCTTTAAAAAAAAAGGCTAACAAATCTTGTATTGCTCATGATTAAATAAAACCATCTCAGCATTGGCCTAATAAAACAATGAATCCACTTTTTGGTATTTTAATAATCCTTTCTAAAGCTTTTACTGCTATTGATAATATATTTATGTGCTTGTGGGAGTGTAAATAAGAGCCCGTTTACAAATAATAACTCATTAAAGGTACTTATTAAAGGAGGCCACCAGCTGCCTGTTGCCCTTGTTACAGCTCATTACCAGTAGTCGCGGTTCAACAGAGGAGGTAATATGCCTGATGCCATTAGCATGGAGCCCACTCCCAGCGAACAGTACACAGCTTACTCCAGCTTATAAACCCTGACATTCTGTTGCTCTCTGCTTCTCCTCAGCTTCCGCCTGGCTTCCCTTCTGCCGAAGAAGCCTATAACTTCTTCACCTTCACCTTTGATCCCGAACCAGAGGAACTGGAGGAAAAACCAAAAGCAAAACATAGAGAGGGAGCCAATCAAGAGGAGGTGGAAGGAGAGGAGGAAGGGCCACCTGTTCAAGGAGTAAACAAAACGGTATTTAATATTTTGATGGTGATGATGATGATGGTAATGACAATGAGGACCACAATGATGATGAGGAGGATGAGGAGGATGAGGGTGATGATGTTAATAAGGAGGAGGAGGAGGAAGTGGATGACGATGATACCCTAGCCAGGAAGAAAGTGGCTGAAGGCAAAACTGCCACCGCCACACAGAACAGCTCATCCATGTCTTGGGTGAAAGAAAAGGGGTATTAGCTTCACATAACCTTCTGTAGCCTTTGATTTCACCCCGCAATTTGGGTAGTGAAGCACGTCTCTTCTGACTTCAGCCGGATCCGATTCTGACATTTGCCAAGTATAGGAAATAGTGAAAAACAAAGCAAACCTGCTTGGTAAATATGAAAGGCCATGTAGCTTTATGCTTTTGTTTAAATAAATAAACAAACAAACGAGCAAGCAAATAAATAAGTAGGTAATACTACTGTAGGTTGTGTTGTTTGGTGAGTTGAATACCATCGATTCTTTTTTTCTATATAAACTGGTCATCTTAGCATGATTTTCGTGGTCATTTTCTTAACGCCGTGCAGGATGAGGAAGAGCTGCTTGCTGGCAGAGATGCTGAGCACTTCCTATTGGGCTCACATCACGGGGCTGAAGATTTCGTGGCGGTGAGACCTGCCTATTATGAAAGCGTCCACATTCGGCTGCAGAAGGAGAAAGAACTCCTGTTCATACCCAGTAGGCTGACAGGTACTGGCTCTTTCTGTCTTCCCGCTCACCCTCCTTTTCCTTCAGTGACAGAAGGATGATGGTGTCTAAGTCATATTTTCATACTGAAAGTGGACTTAGTCTTCCTGGTGGGAGTTTTAGATCATCTAGAGGCCCTTTCACTCACTTTCACTGATCCCAGGTTCTAATCTGATTTCATAATCAAGAAATAGCTCCACACAAACACACACACAAAAAAAAATGTAAACATGGAAAAATATCCACTGAACAAGCCATTATGGACAGAATCACAGAAGATATCCCAGAATGCCATGGGAGCCCCTTCATCATATCAGTGACCATCCCTGGGAGCTCTGAGAGTCAGGGGGGCGGGATCCGCCCCGCGGGCCGTAGTTTGCCCATGGCTGTTCTAATCTGATTTCATAATCAAGAAATAGCTCCACACAAACACACCAAAAAAAATGTAGAACATGGAAAGATATCCACTGAGCAAGCCATTATGGACAGAATCACAGAAGATATCCCAGAATGCCATGGGAGCCCCTTCATCATATCAGTGACCATCCCTGGGAGCTCTGAGAGTCAGGCTGTGAAAAGGAACAACTGTGTTTCACCCTCTACTCACACTCAGTGCTTCTAGAACCGTCCTGTGACCAGATGTGTAGGTTTTTACTTACACCAACCAATCCTCCCATGCCAGCTAGGTGTCCTACGATTCAATCCTGCTCTACCTACCAGTGGTGAGTGCTGACCCCACACAGTAAGGGCTCAGTCCCACAAGACTACCCACTACTTCAGACAGCAATTGCCAAATAGCTTGTCCCCAGGCTACACACACTTTTACTCGACTTTGCTGCAAATCAGGGGTTCCCCTGATTCCCTCTTCAGGTTTTGTAACTAGATATAACAGCACATAGAACTCAGGGAAACACTTCTATTATTATATACCTCAACCCAGAAGGAATATCTAAAAAGTGGTCCATTTCCATCCTATGGAGCAAAGGGTAGCACACAAAAAACCCAGCTGCCCAGTGCTAAATACTGACAGGCTCACTCATCAGCTATATGACCTTGGACAAGTAACTTTCCACCTCTGTAAAATGGGGATATACCAGGCAAATGACCTTCCAGACGACCTTCTGGACGAAGCTGGGACTGCGAGGGCCGAGGCAAGCCATTGCGGCTGTGAGGGCCGAGCCTCTTGCACGAATTTCATGCATCAGGCCTTTGTATTGAGGATTCGAAGTGTTCACACATGTTACAGTGTTCCTAACAGTCCTGGCACACAGTAAGCCCTCTCTAAGTATGAGCTCGTGTTAGAGACTGTAGAGTTGGAGAGAAGAGCAGAAACCAGTTGAATACCTTCTGATTGATGCTCAGGTTTCACTTGTCCATGGGCCATGACTATGATATCCTAAAAAAGCTGGAGGTTCTGGAAGTACTAATATATTCCCTTGGTGTACGAGGTGCTTATTTCTCCTTGTGAATAGATCCTGACTCACATGTCTATTATATTCCCCATCCCCTAAAAACCATTCCATGGAGTTCAGACCAGATCTCAGATTCCTAATGGAAGATCTCGCCCATGAACATATTTCTTCATATATGTATATACCTCAACCCAGAAGGAATATCTAAAAAGTGGTTCATTTCCATCCTATGGAGCAAAGGGTATAGCACACAAAGAACCCAGCTGCCCAGTGGTAAATGCTGACAAGCTCACTCATCAGCTGTATGACCTTGGACATGTAACTTTCCACCTCTGTAAAATGGGGATATACCAGGACCTAATTCTTGGCATTGTATTGAGGATTCGAAGTGTTCACACATGTTACAGTGTTCCTAACAGTCCTGGCACACAGTAAGCCCTCTCTAAGTATGAGCTCGTGTTAGAGACTGTAGAGTTGGAGAGAAGAGCAGAAACCAGTTGAGAATACTTCGGTCAGTATCTAAATTCACCAACACAGACCTGTGCTTACTCTCATCTGCATTTCATTTCACTTTATTCTCAGTGACTTCTGATAAAACAAAGCTAAACACAAATCTCCAAGAACCTTTTAACATCAAGGTGGAAATAACACAGAACATTTGAATACTTGGGCTCCACTAAACAGGACCAAAATTTCTCTATTTGGAGACATGGGTCAGTGTCCCAGGTTACCCAGGATCTGATCCTTTGACACACTCTCCCTGGTGTCCAGCCAGCATCTATGGAGACTCATTCCTGCCAGATGTCCAATGGGCTCTGAACTCACAGTGGTGACAACAGCCCGCCCTTGAGGAGCCCTGGGGATTCAGACATGTTCACGGACAGTGGAAGTACAGGGTGGTTAAGCTCAGCGATGGCTGTTAGGTGGAGTAGCAGGGCTCTAGAAGGGGTGGGTTTCAAGAGAGATGAAGATAAGGTGGGAACAACACCTGGTCGTATTGAGGATTCGAAGTGTTCACACATGTTACAGTGTTTCTAACAGTCCTGGCACACAGTAAACCCTCTCTAAGTATGAGCTCATGTTAGAGGCTGTAGAATCAGAGAGAAAAGCAGAAACCAGTTGGGAGGGAAGAAAGAACACCCATAATGAGTGTTAGCACAGCTTCCAGCGGACAGGGTCCCAAGGCTCACGAGAAGGCCAGGCCCTGTGCCCTGAAGGGTATATGCCAGACTTATTTACATTCAGACATTACTGATACTTTTCTTCATAGGCTGTTTGGAAATGATCTCTTGGAAGGATATCTATTGATCTGAGAAGTGACTCTTTTCATTTTAAGGTTTATGGAATATAAAATCAGGATCTGATCCTTTGACACACTCTCCCTGGTGTCCAGCCAGCATCTATGGAGACTCATTCCTGCCAGATGTCCAATGGGCTCTGAACTCACAGTGGTGACAATAGCCTGCCCTTGAGGAGCCCTGGGGATTCAGACATGTTCACGGACAGTGGAGGTACAGGGTGGTTAAGCTCGGCAATGGCTGCTAGGTGGAGTAGCAGGGCTCTAGAAGGGGTGGGTTTGAAGAAAGATGAAGATAAAGTGGGAACAACACCTGGTCAGTTGGCTAGCAGAGGGAAGAAAGAACACCCATAATGAGTGTTAGCACAGTATAGATAGAAGGCTCCGCTTCCAGCGGACAGGGTCCCAAGGCTCACTCACGAGAAGGCCAGGCCCTGTGCCCTGAAGGGTATATGCCAGACTTATTTACATTCAGACATTACTGATACTTTTCTTCATAGGCTGTTTGGAAATGATCTCTTCTTGGAAGGATTATTGATCTGAGGAGAAGTAACACTTTTCATTTTAAGGTTTATGGAATATAAAATTTTAGATTTGTTTGGTCCTGAGAGAGACAGAGCCGAGTAAGACAATATTCAGCAACCTTAACCTTCAAATATATTTGACATTTAACAGCATTCCTCAGGAATGGTGATCTGCATTGATGGTCACAAGATATGCCTTGGGAGGGTTAATGGTTATTTTACAACGTTCTTAGTTATTTTATTTAAATGGTATATCTATCATTTTCGACTCATCCAGCCAGGGAGAGAGACCCAAAGGACTGTACAAGATGATGACTCCCAAAGTTATTCAAGAGTCAAGTTCCGTGACTGTGTCCGAAAAATCAAGTCTAAACCTCCGGTGAGAAATCCTGTCTTTAAATCGTGCTTGTTTTCAATCACACATACTTTAAATCATGGTTTTTTGTTAATTTCTATTTTCCAAAAATATCCAATGCGAGTTGACAATATACATGACCTGCCTTCTATTGCTGTGGAGAATGCAAGAAAAAAGTATGAGAAATAATTCCTACTTTCAAAATCCTAGAAGTTAGCTTGATTTGGGGCAGGGAAATGCATTAAAGTGCAGGAAAGACTATTTGTTCAGCTCTGACATTGCACCCGCTTTCAATATGGGGAAAAAGGGACACTAACTCAAGAAGAACCAAAGCCTTACTCCCCCTCCCCCCCAAAAAAATGGTCTTTAAAAAAAAAGGCTAACAAATCTTGTATTGCTCATGATTAAATAAAACCATCTCAGCATTGGCCTATAAAACAATGAATCCACTTTTTGGCATTTTAATCATCCTTTCTAAAGCTTTTACTGCTATTGATAATATATTTATGTGCTTGTGGGAGTGTAAATAAGAGCCCGTTTACAAAAAATAACTCATTAAAGGTACTTATTAAAGGAGGCCACCAACTGCCTGTTGCCCTTGTTACAGCTCATTACCAGTAGTCGCGGACCTTCAACAGAGGTAATATGCCTGATGCCATTAGCATGGAGCCCACTCCCAGGGAACAGTGCACAGCTCACTCCAGCTTATAAACCCTGACATTCTGTTGCTCTCTGCTTCTCCTCAGCTTCCGCCTGGCTTCCCTTCTGCCGAAGAAGCCTATAACTTCTTCACCTTCACCTTTGATCCCGAACCAGAGGAACTGGAGGAAAAACCAAAAGCAAAACATAGAGAGGGAGCCAATCAAGAGGAGGTGGAAGGAGAGGAGGAAGGGCCACCTGTTCAAGGAGTAAACAAAACGGTATTTAATATTTTGATGGTGATGATGATGATGGTAATGACAATGAGGACCACAATGATGATGAGGAGGATGAGGAGGATGAGGGTGATGATGTTAATAAGGAGGAGGAGGAGGAAGTGGATGACGATGATACCCTAGCCAGGAAGAAAGTGGCTGAAGGCAAAACTGCCACCGCCACACAGAACAGCTCATCCATGTCTTGGGTGAAAGAAAAGGGGTATTAGCTTCACATAACCTTCTGTAGCCTTTGATTTCACCCCGCAATTTGGGTAGTGAGGGCCTTGAATTAAATCTGTCCATCTTCTGTGGAGAAAGAAAAAACAGCAGAACAATGTGGCTTGCAGATTTTTCTTGCCCCCACAACCTTACAGGCAAGCAGCTTTTTGTGCTCCGTGCCACACCCAAGCTACAAGTCAGATTCCCTCATTGTGAGTGGTATGTGTTCGATAAAAGAGAGCATGCCTGTAAAAGTGTGTAAAGGACTTACCCGGCTGGTGTGGCTCAGTGGTTGAGTGTCAACCTATGAACCAGGAGGTCACAGTTCAATTCCCCAACAGGGCATACACCCGGGTTGTGGGCTCGAGATCCCCAGTGTGGGGCATGACCTCCTGGTTCACAGGTCGATGCTCAACCACTGAGCTGCACCGGCCGGACAAAACATGCCCTTTGAAGTCATCTGTACGTGAAGCCCTCTCCTGTAGTCCACGCTCTGGCCTGCCCAGACCTTTGTTCATATTTTCATACTGAAAGTGGACTTAGTCTTCCTGGTGGGAGTTTTAGATCATCTAGAGGCCCTTTCACTCACTTCCTTTTTCTGTCTTTGCTGCAGTTTTTCCCAGTCTTTGGTCTTTGCTCGTCACAAGCGGAGGTAGGGCAGAAGCAAGAAACATCCTTCCGTTTTTGAGGTGTTTGGCATTCTCTGTCTTCAAGTTATGCTGAGAGCTTAGTTACCAAGTAGATTTACTTTTTCCTCTTATTGTTTTGTATGTTTGGGGAGGAAATATTAGGAGGCTGGTAGCTGGGCAGCAGCAGTGTCTTCAGCTCCCTGCACGTCTCCACAGGA